AGACTAAAAACCTTTGTGATGTTTTCCCTCAACTCTTATCCTCATATATAATACATCTGATTGCTGAGCAGTTCCATCAGATCCTACTCCACAAAGTATCTGTAGAAACCATTCACTCTTTTCCATTTTCACTGCCATATTCATATTCAAGACCTCATTTCTTTTCACTTTGAACAAGAAAGGAGCTCCTATTTAATCTCTGTACTTCTAATCCTATTCCCTCCAATGAACCCTCCATATTACCATCAGAGTAAGGAATGTGTTCACTGTTTTGTATTCCTAGCAGTAAGCACAGTATCTAAAACACGGAAATGTTCGACAATTATCAAATTAATAAATGTACCTTTTTAAAACACTTATATGATCATGCCACTCTCTGCTAAAAATACCTCTCAGGGTGCCCTTTTGTATATATGCACACGCACAGACACACATATGTAAGTCCAAAATCCTTAGCATGACATCTAAAACCCTTCCTATAACTACTATGTGTCAATAAAAATTTAAAAAAGCCCTTCACAGTCTGATTTTAATGTAACTTCCTAGTCTCACCATTCACTACTCCGCCTTCCTCATTCCAGGGATCTTTAATCTAGCCTTGCTCAACCACACTGCCTTTTGTTTGTATTGCTTTTATGCATGCTTAGACTGCATTTAAAGTCATGAAATATTAAAACTTTTATGCCACTCTGTATCATTGCAAGAATCTATTAAATTAGATAATAAAAACAAACCACCAGTAACTCTAAAGATTTTTACTTCATTTACACTTTATTTTCCCTGGTAGAAGGACAGGGATAATAGAAATTCCATTTAAATTCAATTTTGGTTATATGTGTAATTGTAGATATACCCCTTGAGTCATGTAAAATGCTCAGCTTATGTTTCTTTCAAATTATCCCGCTCAGATTCACATTCTACTCCTTACAACCATCTTCAATATGTATTAGCAGAGCTCATTAGACTGAAATTTAATAATGCAAACATCAGGTGGATTTCAAGAACCTCCATTAACAACGTAAGATGGATTGCTTATATATAGCTCTTGGGCCAACTGGGCACAATTTAAATTCAATAAACTAGCCTGCCTAAATCTGATTTATCTATTTCACTACGCTGGTTTGTCCTTTCTTACTGATTTGTTGCTATACATGGACAATTCATTGAAATATTATTTTATATATATTTTTTAAAACTGCAAATGGCTCTGGTGCTGTGGTTAAACATTTTATGTAATTGAGCTTCATGCTGTCAATCAAGATTCTCAAGTATATGTCTATGTGTATGTGTACATGTGCATAATAAAAAATCTTTTAAATTATGTTGAAATAGTATAAATAATAATCTTCAAAGCACACATTTGAAAATTTTATCAATAATCAACATGTCTTCCACAAAGAATCTGAATTAATTCACTTGAAGAGAACATCTATTCAAATCAAGTAATTAGGACAAACTCCTTGTTGATTATTAAGGGAGTTGGAAGAAATGTTCTTTTTTTCTTTCTGATTGCTTTTGGATATTATGATTTAAGTGTGAATAGAGGAAGAACTCATGGCCATTCATACATGATTTAATTTATTCTGAAAATTTTTGTATTCCATAAAAGGTGGCAATCCCATTTTACTGATAGGGATACTCAATCTTATTTGGTGTGCCATGAAATGTGACACCAAAGAACACAATTACTATGTGGTAAGACCTACTCTTATGAGTCATGATCCTCTTTGGACTTTACAGCAGGATCTACTATAAAAAAAAAATCATTTACTAAAAGTACTTATGTCTTCTACTAATCTTGTACACAAGTTCTGATCCCTTGGTTTTTCCAAACTCTCCCAGGCTGACAGTCCCCTCAATGCTTTGCTTCCTTCCTAACCAACTTGGATGCCAAGACAACCATTTCAATTCCATGCTTATAAACACCCTCATTTCTCTCATTCCTTTGTTTGTTTTGCCAAGATGTTACCAACACGACTATTTTTTCTATTTTCGCTGCATAGGCTCCCTACAAAACAGTGTGTAAATGGTATTTATTGGCTCTACCAAAAACCCATGATTTAGAAATTAACATGGTTGATTCCATACTGGTCCTTCTTAGTAAGCATCCATAGTTGGTATCTATTCTCATTTCCTACCACTTACTAACTATGCTCTCTTTACTATAAATGGCCATAACTATAACAACTCTCCTGACACTATTTTATTTTATTAGCCTCACTCCCATTTGCCTCCAAACTTTTATGTTCATCAATCCTTACTTCATTTTTGCCTTGTTTCAGAAAGTAAACCCATCCACTTGCACCTTAGAGCCTATTCTTTCCACATCCTTCAAGATTCTCTCTGCTTCTTAAAGTTCAAACTCTTTCTTCCCTATGCTCAGACTATAACTATATATTCAAGTCTCACAAATCCTGTATAATATTTACTCTTCTTTTAACCAAGCTACTGTCTTCTCTTGTTCCCACCAGCTTTTGCCCCTCACAGCATTTGCAATGGTGCCCAAAAACTCTGTAATAGCCAAATCTAATGGTTATCTCACTTTTGTCCTGCTAGAGTCTTTCCATCTTTTTTAAACAGTTGTTAACCCAATCACTTCTTTCTGAAAATGCTCTCCTAATTCTGGCAATTCTTAGTCATTCTTTTCTGGCTGCTGTTTCTTTTACCCACCTTTTACTTCTTGGAGTTCTATTCGTGGGCAGTATGTGGAAGGTCTAAATTGTAACCCATATGTCTATCATAGCCATACCTGTCCATGGCCTTTCTCCTGATCATCAGAACTGTTTTTCCAATTACATCCTGGACACCTCCGCATAAGGTATTTCAAATCATGTCCATGGTTGAACCTAAAATCTTTCCCACGAACTTTATCCTTTTCCCATAGTATTTCCTATTTTCACCGGCCACCTAATCTCACAGACTAAAAACCTTTGTGATGTTTTCCCTCAACTCTTATCCTCATATATAATACATCTGATTGCTGAGCAGTTCCATCAGATCCTACTCCACAAAGTATCTGTAGAAACCATTCACTCTTTTCCATTTTCACTGCCATATTCATATTCAAGACCTCATTTCTTTTCACTTTGAACAAGAAAGGAGCTCCTATTTAATCTCTGTACTTCTAATCCTATTCCCTCCAATGAACCCTCCATATTACCATCAGAGTAAGGAATGTGTTCACTGTTTTGTATTCCTAGCAGTAAGCACAGTATCTAAAACACGGAAATGTTCGACAATTATCAAATTAATAAATGTACCTTTTTAAAACACTTATATGATCATGCCACTCTCTGCTAAAAATACCTCTCAGGGTGCCCTTTTGTATATATGCACACGCACAGACACACATATGTAAGTCCAAAATCCTTAGCATGACATCTAAAACCCTTCCTATAACTACTATGTGTCAATAAAAATTTAAAAAAGCCCTTCACAGTCTGATTTTAATGTAACTTCCTAGTCTCACCATTCACTACTCCGCCTTCCTCATTCCAGGGATCTTTAATCTAGCCTTGCTCAACCACACTGCCTTTTGTTTGTATTGCCATGCCTTTCTTATTGCTGGGGTGCCCGTCCTCACTCTTGCTGAGAAAACCTTACCAGAAAGTTTTAGTTCAAATATCATGCTCTTCTATGAAGCCTTTCCTGATTGACATCCTTTGTTCCCAAGCAGATATGATTGCTACCTCCTTTCTCCTTAGGTACTTTCATATCTTTCTTATGGAATGTACATTTCATTCCCTTCATTGGAGGAGATATATCTGACTCCCTGAGCAGCACACATAGTAGGTGTGACAGAAATGGTTAGTGTTCACTTCCTCATGAGTCTTTAGCTTGACTACATTTTCTACTCTTCCTCGGACTTAAGTGTG